CTCACCGGGACTGGGGTCCCCACTGTCCTTCCTGGCTGCCTCCTGTTTGAGTCTGCACCTGGGCCCTGTCCTGCTCCAGGTTTCTGTGCCACTCACCTGTGTGACAACTGTAGAAAAAGAGGTTTTTCTTTTGTTTTGATTTGTGACCTCGAGGAGTTGCAGAGAGTGAGAGACTCCTCTTTCCTGGAGAGAGAGACTCCATGTCCCCGAGCAGTTCTGCTCCTCGGAGAGCTGGGCTTTGCAGAAAGAAGGACGCTGCAGGCCTCCGAGAGCAAGAAGCGTGAGTCTCACTGGCCCAACAGCTTTGACCACCACTGACTCAGACTGTTTTGGGAGAGCCAAGGCCCGAGGCATCTCAGGAGGGGCCCCTGCAGACACCCCAGTGTGTTTCAGGCAGGAGCCCTGATCATTTTGGTCAACACCAGCAGCACCTCTAGGTGTGTGTCCCTAGGTGGCCCTGGAGCCCTGGACAGACCCATCAGCACTTGGCTGTCTGACTGGACCCCTGAGTGGCCACCTGCCCAGCTAGAAGCTGCTGTCCTGCCTGGCCTGAGCATAACCCCGGGGCCCGGTTCCTGGAGCACAGAGGAGTCACTTTGTCCCAGAACACCTTTCTTTTATCATGTGATGGATTTTCTGCATCTAGGGTGGAGTTGAGCTATGTGGAACAGGTAGGGTGATGCCCTTGCTCTGGACCTGGGCTGTCTGAGAAGATGAATGGATGTGTACAGCATACAGATGCCTGGGTTGGTTGGCACTGTCCTCAGAGGGTCAGGGATCCAATGGGGCCGCCCAGTGGTGAGTCAGCATGGGGGTGAATTGGACAGGCCCAGGAAGGAGGAAGAACTGCAACCTGAGATGGATGCACTGGTCTGCAGATGATCAAACACCATGCTATGTTGATAAAAACAGCCCAGTAGCCATGCATTGGGGCATACGCCTGTAAGCCTAGCACTTAGGGAGCTGAGGCAGGAAGATTGCAAGTTTGAGTCCATCCTAGGAACTTAGGGAGACTCTGTCTCAAAAAACAAAACAACCAGGCTTGATAGCACATACCTATAATCCCAGGATTTGAGAGGCTGAGACAGGAGGATCACCATGAGTTCAAGGCTACCTGGGTTCCATAGTGAGCACAAGGCCAGTGTGTGTCACAAAGTGAGACCTTGTCTCAAAAACCAAACCAAAAACTGCCCCGTGGTGTATAATATACAGGGAGGTTTCCTCTCCCCTTCTCAGTCCACCCCTAGAGGAACCATGGCTAACAACTTCTGACTTTCATGTTTCTAGTGAATCCAGCTGGTATTTGCCATCAAAAATGATGATTGCCTGGCTGAGGCTGTAGCCGTGGTGGGGCACTTGAGTAGACATGAGGATTGTAGGGGCTGGAGTGTAGTTTAGTGGTAGATGGTTGACCAGTTGCCTAGCATGTGCTAAGGCCTTAGGGTTTAATCCTAAAATAAAAAGGATCGTGGCAGGGTTGGTTATTGTTCTCTGCCTCCCATGTCTGTTGGTTATGCTGTTTATGACACGAGTAGTTGCTGTGAAGCCCCAGGAAATCCTCCACACTTGCTGTGGGTTGATGCTGCATACTGGTGTAAGAGATGCACGCTGTGAGCTCCCCCTGGAGCCTGAGATTGGTCCAAGCTGTAGGTGAAAGATTGTTGCCCCGACATCTTTCTAGTCCAGCCGACGGGGCCTCCCAGCTGCCTTCATCCCCGAGATCCGAGGGTCAGCTCGGCCGCCTCACTTTCTGTCACATTGTGCTGCATCTTGTGACAAAACTCCCAGGAGCTTGATTCGCCCAGGGTGTGCGGGAATTAAACTCGGGGTTCTTACATGTAGGGAGGGGGGGTCTGGGTGGCCTGGCAGGGTGTGTGCTTGGCTGGGTGTAGGGTTCCCGGTTAGCCCCCTAGGGATGCTGCTCCTGCCACCCTCACCCAGGGTCATGGAAGAGCCTTGGGGCCGGCCCCGGCTGCTCCTTTGCAGACAGGACTCCATTCTTCAGCTTCAGAAGTCCCAGTGCCCTGAGAAGAGACCTGAGGTGGGTCATTTTTCATATGCCGCCACCTAGCTCTTGTATCCTAAATTGTTCTGCTTTCAGGTCAGGAACAAAGCTGTTCCACTGCCTATTTACCCTTCAGGATGTCCGGTGTTAGGAGTCTCATTACACAGTTGATTGGTTTCCAGGTGGTTCTTTCATGCCTCTTGATATTTCTCTCAATTTCTTCTGCTTCTCCTTCTCATTTGGTCCTCGGTTTTTTTTTTTTTTTCCCAAAATTGAAGTGTAATTTAAGTACAGTAAAACACATCTGAAATGTGCCAGTTGAAGGGTTTGACAGCTGCCTTCAGGGGCAGCTGTGTGGTTTGTTGAGCTGTGGACGCTCCTTCATGGAGCCCAGCACGGAGCCTTCGTTGTCCTGATGGAGTCCCCTGTGGCCCTGTCTTTGCTGGAGTTTCTCATCCAAATGGGATCATACCACACAGTTTGGCTTCTTTTGCTTGATGCTTTTGGGGTTCACCCATGGTATTGGGGGGATCCAGCATGTCCCTAGTGTTGCCAAATCGGCTTCCTCTGTGACAGGTGTACTGTGACCTGGCTTCTGTGTGCCTGGCTGCCTATATTTTCCTTACTTCCAGACAGGACTGCAGTGGAGGGAGATGCTAGGAGTGTCCTGTGGGCACCTGGCCGCCACCAACTGAGGTTTTCTGTCACCTGGGTGAATCTCAGGAGGGGGCGGCTGAATGCAGGGCTGCTGATCCCGCCTCGATTTCTCCCAGGAGCAGCAGTGATTGATCAGTCTGTGAGATGTAAATCCGGCGTGCGTGAGAGAGACAGACAGACAGACAGAGAGAGAGAGAATGTACTTTGGTGTGATCCTAATCACTATTTTTCCAGTTCAAGTGCTATTGACCATTTTTGTATCTTTTTTGATAAAGTATTCTCTTTTTTTGAGTTATAGAAGCTCTCTCCGTATTTGGGGTCTGGCTGTTGATATATGTATACATGTGTCATATACACCCATATATATATATGAAGAGAGAGAGAGACAGAGTAGGTTGGGTGGGGAGAGGGAGAGATGAGGGATTCTTCTCGAAGTTGATAGCATGGCTTTTATTTTCTTAGGTAAGTAATCATTTTAATGACTGCAACATATTTCCATTTTATTATTTTAATTAATATTTAATTAATATTTTTCATATTCAGTATTTCATTGGATTAAGAAGTATTTTTGTGTTTTCTTTGTTTTTGGTACCAGGGATTGAACCCAGCATCCTTGCACTGAACTACTCACATCCCGCAACTCTTTTCTTATTTTTTATTTTTAAGATGAGATTGTTCTGTGTTGCTAAGTTTCCCAGGCTGGACTGGAATGTGTGTTTCTCCTGCCTCAGCCTCTCAGAATGCTGGGGTTACACGTGGGATAACAGGCCAGGCTGGAATACTTTATTTTTAAAACACTGAGCTTTTTAGGAAGACTAACCCAGCTTTAAATTGCAAGAACTGGTTTTTTTTTGGGGGGGGGTCTTTTTGAGTCAAGGTCCCACTATGTGGTTCAGGCTGGCCTTGAGCTCACTTTGTAGGCTGGTCTTGAACTCACAGAGATCCTCCTGCCTCAGCCTCCTGGGTGTTGGGATTGTAGGCTGTGCCACCACGCCCAGCTGATTTGCAAAAACTCTTTCTTGATTTTCCTTTTTAATAGAAGCCTGCTTGTCTGTTTGTATGTCTGCTTCTTGGTCTTACGGGAACACTGATTAAGATGCTTTTGAAGTTGCCCTCAGCCCTGAGTGACTTGTCCTTCTGGGTGTGCACATGCTGATGGTTTCTCCTGGCAGCATGGCTCTATTCGATGCTGCTGCCTCGTCCCACTGGCTGCCTGGTGTGAGAGGGCTGGGAGTGGAGGGAATAGACTGGGGGCTGGGAAAGAGCAGCTTCATGGCCCAGCTGCCAGTGGGGGCACAGTTCCTCAGCAGGGGACCCTCGTCTTGACCCCGCGTTCCACTTCTGCTCTCTGGGTTGGATTCTAGCTTCCTGTTCCCGGGCGACTTCCAGAAGGATCCTGAGGATGGTGGCCTGTGTTCTTGTTCAGCTCTCCTCTCCCACTACCTTTCCCCATCTACCTGCTTTCAGACTCTGGAGCCGCTCGGGTTTCTCTTTGGTGCTAGATGTGTTTATGGCTTCCTTTCGGACGCATGCGTCTCTCAGGTTCCTGCACTCCTGGGCAGGTGGAGGCAGCCTTGTTCCTTGGCTTCTCAGGCTAGGGCTGGATGGTGCCCACGGGTAGAGGGTTCCATGTGCTCCTGGACCTGAGAGAGGGCAGGGCTGTGCACACGGTACCCAGGTCCTGTGGGATGAAGGTGGAAAGGGACCCTCTCGGGGCTGGGGCCTTGGAGTTTCTGTAGAGTGCCCAGGGTGAGATTGCACTGAAGGATTTTGGGAGAGGAAGAGATGGGGCGGGCGGTCTGAGGTAGGGGTGAGGCAGGGACTAGAGGGTGGGCCGATGGGCACTGAGGCTGGGGATGGGGGTGGCAGATGTGATGCATAGGGATCATGTGGCCATGGGCAGAGCTCCTGGGAGGGGATGCCCTAGGCACACCTGACAAGGGTCCCCCTCTGTTCGTTGGTTCCTGTTAAAGTCAGTGGGTTCGCTCCCCTGAAAGGTGCACTGTGTCCTGCTGGCCCCACAGGGCGCTTTCCCTCCCGGTGGTCTCCGGCACTCATCAGGTCTCGGCTTTGAGAGCTTCATTGGAGCCGTGTGTATGTTAGAAGCAGAACGATGTTTCCATGTTTCTTTCTTTTAACAAATGCAGAGTAAATGGTTGCGGAGGGAACGGGGCCTCCAAGGTGTTTTTAAGGATGAGGTGGTCGAGCCGGCTCTGGCTTCCCGAAACTGCTCTTCTTACCGCGCCTGGCCTGCTCCTTGCTGCTCCGTGGGTGGGCAGGGAGGGCGGATTCTGCCACATGTTCCTGACACTGCTCAGTCATGTCCATGTTGCGCTAGGACCGGAAGCTCACCAAGCTGGAGCGGCAGCGCTTCAAAGAGGAAGCAGAGATGCTGAAAGGCCTGCAGCACCCCAACATTGTGCGCTTCTATGACTTCTGGGAGTCCAGTGCCAAGGGCAAGCGATGCATTGTGCTGGTGACTGAGCTGATGACCTCAGGGACGCTGAAGACGTATGTGCTGCCCACCTGTGGGCTGGGGCCTCTTGGTCATGACTGCAGTGCTAGTGTGTGTGTGTGTGTGTGCGCGCGCGCGCGCGCACGTGTGCGCGCACAGGGTGAGGGAGTGGCAGACTGAGGTCCTGGACTTTTTGGGAGCATTCAGCTGGTGCTAGCATCCAGCATCCGGCCCCTCGGAAGTGTCCCCTTGGTGACGAGCCTTCATTCCTCAGGCAGTGGGAAGCCCCTTCCCCCAGTGAGAAGGCACAAATCAAAGAAACTGAGCAGTGCCTTCTAACTTCTGGCTCCTGCTTGTTTCCTGTGATAAGCAGGACCTGTGCCCAGGATGTGACTGGGAGAGCATCCTCGCCACCCCTGGGGTTTGCTCTGTCTACAGTCTCGTTTCTGGCCAACGTGCTGTTTCTGCCTTGGAGCCTGCCTTGCTTGTAGTTTTGCTCAGGAGCAGGCTAGGGCAGGAGCCTGGTGAGGGGCCAGAGCCAGCTGGCAGCTTGCGGCCTCTGCCTGAGTCCTCTGTCCATACTGTAGGGATGAGAGGCTTCCCTTCTGGTCGCCACAGCCTGACTTCATCTGAATGGTTCTCCCCACCCCAGGCCTTGAGTGGGACCTTGCTGTCCCCCTGCCACCAGGTATTTCCACTGGCAGATGAAGACGTAGCAAGGAAAAATCCATTTCCAGCCTGACCCACTGGCTTTCTTTAGGGACAGCTCCTGGGGGTGCTACAGGAAGGGCCTGACGTACCTGACCTCCGGCCCAGGCATTCCCATAGGCCCTGGGCTCCCTTGTTCCTGAGCCTCACCCTGTGCCCCGCTACCTGGGCCTCGTCCTGCTGGGGCTGCCTCTCAGTTGATCCTTGCACCCTGTCAGGGTGAGATCAGCCCTGGGCCTGGCGTGAACTGTAGTATCGAGGCCCCAGTGCAAGGAGTAAGGAGAGGGTCCCCATCCTGGCCTGGCTGGGGCAGAGCTGCCCAGCGTTCTCCTCAGCTCTGCTCCCTGTGGTAGAGAGCAGGGCCTCCTCAGGGGCTGCGGTCCAGCCTCATGCTGAGCCGTGCCCCCTCCCAGGTACCTGAAGCGATTCAAGGTGATGAAGCCCAAGGTGCTGCGCAGCTGGTGCCGGCAGATCCTGAAGGGCCTGCTCTTCCTGCACACGCGCACGCCGCCCATCATCCACCGTGACCTCAAGTGCGACAACATCTTCATCACTGGGCCCACCGGCTCCGTGAAGATCGGCGACCTGGGCCTGGCCACTCTCAAGAGAGCGTCATTCGCCAAGAGCGTGATAGGTGAGTCCGAGTCTCCTCACATGAGCTGGGGACATGGTGGCATTCAAAGGTCGTGCTTTTGCTCAGCCACCTCTGACCGGTGTGGGGAGCCCAGGAGATGGAGCACGGGGCGTGGGGCCTCAGGCTGGGCACCCAGCCTTTATGTTTCCCAGGCTCTGGTTGCTCCACAAGGAGACCTGCCCCTTGGGGGAAGGGCCTCATCTGCCCTGCCCAGCCTCAGGGCCAGATCTGCCAGATCTGCATTCGTTCCCTGGCTCTGTTTGGTGCCAGCTCTGAGCATCCAGTGGGTGTGATGGGCTGGCTGCCAGCTTTCTGTGGTGTCCTCAGGCACTGTGGTCACTTGGGAGAGGGGAGGAGGCCCTGGCCGCCAGGGAACTGGAAGCTTGTGGTGAGTGATACTGGGGCTGCACTCAGTGGACAGAAATGGGAGGCTCAGGCTGTGGGGCCCATGGAAATAACAGCTTGGGGTGTTTGGGGGCAGGCAGAGCTGGAAGAAGGGTCTTGAGTGATGTCTGAGTACTAGGGGAGCAGGTACTGGCAGCCTCTGCTGGCCATCGACTTTGGCCTGGCCTGTCACGCTCAAGTGCCTGGGGCTCTGGGGTATCCCCAAGTTACTCTGCCCTTGGCTCACCAGGAGCCCAGGAAGCCTGAGTTTTCAAGGCTGGGACCACAATTTTCCTCAGCTGCCTCTGCTCATGGGAAATGTGGCTTGTCACCAGGGCAAGGTCAGCAGTGGGTGAGGGGCTGTGGGTGGTCAGGGCACCCTAGTCCCATTTCCCAGGCCAGCGCAGGCCTCTGAATAGTAGCCTCTGTCCCAGGTCTGTTAGTGGTCAGCTCTGCCCGTGTGGCTGGCAGGCTTGGCCTGCCCGGAGTCCTCAGTCCAAGAGGACAGCCTCAGCCATGCACTTACCCATGTGTTCGTGCACATGTGTGTATCAGTGTGTCCATGTCTGTGTGTCTGTCCTAGTTCCCCAGAACAGGAATGTGTGGACATTCCTGCTGTGGCTGTCAGGGCTTCCCCTTGCAGGCCTTGGGTCTGCCCTTCAGATGTGACCTGTGGGAGGGTGGGGGTCTGTAGCCTCTGGCTGCCCCTGTTCAGCACTGGGGCTGTTGCTGTCATGGCTCAGTGCGAGATGGGGACACAGGTGTCACAGGCGGGGTTAACTGCTTGGGCGCTCACACCTCCGAGGTGCAGGGTTTGCTGGTTTGCATGCGCTGAGCTTGAGGGCTTGGGTGGATGTCATCCTGCCGGCTGCTGGGCCTGGGACTGCTGCTGCGGTGCCTGGCTCACCCAGGAAGACTTCGTGGAGGTGGTGATAAAAAAAAGTGGGCTCAGTGCAGAGGGACCTGGGAGGAGGCCAAGGTGAGCTGAGGGTGGCTACTCTAGGAAGAACTGCAGGCTGGCCCCAGGTGGATGGCACTGTTGGCGCCTTAGAGATGAATGCTTAGGGGCGCTGGACCATGTGGGGTCTCCCACCTGTTCCCTTTGCTGGGAGGAAGGAGGTAGGGTTTGCCCGTCAGCTGAGAGAGTGGGCACAGGCTGACTGTGTTGGCTTGGTTTTGTCCTAATGTAAATGAGGACAGGCAGGGCTAGGAAATGGGGTTTTGATTTCATACAGGAAGTTACTGTCTTCCATACGCACCCAGAAATGGTTTCCGTGGGCTGCAGGGTGGTTTTAACTTCAGGCTGCCAGGACTTGGACATGGCTGGGCCCTGCTGTGTTGGAAAGCAGGAGAAAGGTGTCACCGTCCTTACAGCTCTCACGGCCTTCTGCAGGAGGACAGGGGAGGGCACTGCTCGGGCAGGCGAGGTCCCCGGTACCTGATGTCACAGCTGTGGCTGGGCCCAGGTAGGGGAGACAAGGCCTGAAACTCTGCAGGACTCAAGGTGCAGCAGGTGTGGGAGGGGGCTTTGGGTGGGGTCCAGGGCAGGCGGCTTTATAGCAGATGGCTGAACTCAAAGCTGGGTGGAGGGCAGGGCTGTTTACTTTCCACACATGTACACACACATGTTTGCATTTCAGATTTAAGTGGCTGTAGTGTGAGGCAAGAGAAACACAACTGAGGGTACCAGTGTCCAAGCATCTGTGTAGATCAGGCATTCTTGGGGTCTCTGTGCCTCCTCTGACCTGTGCCTCCTCATCCCCCAGAGCAGGGAATCTGGGGTCTCAGGGTATTGCTTACAGAGCAAGGTCCTGAATTCCTGCAGGTCCCAAAGAAGCCAGGCTCAGGGACACTGCTGCCTCCACCTGGCCCCTGGCTGCCCTGTGGACAGCCAGGTAGGTTGGGGTCCTGCAGGGGCAGGGAGCAGCTGGCTCAGCTCTCGGACTCCTGCTAGCAGCTCTGGGACCAGGCTTCTAGCATGTTTGTTTGTCCCTGTGGTAGATGTGGCTAGCCAAGGGCCCAGAACACACCCCTTGTGATTTTGTCTCCACCTCTGGAAGGAAAGGGCTTCGCTGTGGTTTTTCTCTGCCATCACAGGGCAGATTGTCAGACATGGCCACTTGGCAGATGGCACTGTGAGGCGTGGTTAAGTGGGTGGCATTGTAGGCAGTGGAGGTGGCTCTGGAGAGTAAGCCCTTGCCTTCCTGCTGCATGTGGCTTCCCAGCAAGCCCTGTGTCTCTCTGTACTCCATCCCCCACCAGGAGGGCCTGCCTCAGTGGCCAAGATGGGTGGTCAGGCCCAAGCAGCAGGTGGCGAGCCCAGAGGGTGTCTGCTGGAGGACCCCAGGGTGTGACAGGGTAGGCAGGGCTGAGAATAGGTGTTTGCATTGTCACAAGCCTGGACTCTGAGTGGCTGTAGCTTTTGTGGCCTCTTTCTTCTGGCCCCACCCTGGGCAGCATGGTCACTATCCTGTGACAGGCTTAGGTTTGGGAAACAAACCTTTAAAATATCAACTATTGTAAAAAAATAATTCAGTATAACCAAATGGTTCAAAGCCCCAGAGGAAAACTTTCTAAAGCAAGATGTTCTGACTGCGTTCAGCCCTTGCTCTTCCACGGACTCCCCCAGGCTTCGGTACTCTTGTACCCAGTAGGTTTGGTTAAACCTATAATGTGTGATAAGTTGAATGATGGATAAAAGAAGCCTTTACATGTGGCCTTTACTGCAGTGAATCAGTTTGTATGATTTTGCATCTGCTGTTTAAAAAAACTCTAGAACATTCTGGAAAAATTAGCAAAGTCATCAAACCTACAGATGTTAAAAGCTGCTTTCCTGAAGTCTCTGATCCCTCTCCATGGACTCCATTGGACTTATGGTAATGAAAGGCTTTTGTGATGGTTTAAGCAGAAGTAAATAAAAGTAGAAGTAAGTAAAGCAGAAGTGAGTTAAGTCAGTAAAAGAATAATTAGCCGCAGCCCCCTGGCTGTGCATGCCGTTTTACATAGATGAGGCCATGAACAGACGCATGCATGTTATTCACCACGCCTATCATTCGTTTCTGTTGTCCTGCTTCTTTTGCGTCTGCTATACCACGAGTGGTTCTCGTCAAAGTGTCTCTGTGGTCCTGCAGCCACGGTGCTGTGTTCTGTAGTGAGGACAGCTGTGTGGGCCACGTGACAATCATCACTGGGGTGCGTAGGACCCTAGCCATGGCCCCACCCAGGGATGCTTAGGCCTCTGGATTTTTGCAGCTAGAAGCAGCTCTGGCTGCTTGTCCACTCTGGATGTCTGGGCAGCCCATCTCTGGAATCGGGAGAGGAACTCCCACAGCACATCTATTTGAATCCTGGGTTCCAGGGCAGGCATCATAGAACTGGGTGTCCCTGGGGTGCCACAGGACAGACGGAGAGGAGACAGGTGGGGAGTCTGAGAGGCTGAGTGGGCTCCTGGGCACCAGCTTGCAGCATTCCTGGGATACTGAGGGTACAGGCCTAGGTGCGGCTGGTTGACTGCGCACGTTGCTCCTGGCCCAGGTACGCCTGAGTTCATGGCACCGGAGATGTACGAGGAGCACTACGACGAATCGGTGGACGTCTACGCCTTCGGGATGTGCATGCTGGAGATGGCGACCTCGGAGTACCCCTACTCGGAGTGCCAGAATGCGGCCCAGATCTACCGCAAGGTCACCTGTGTGAGTGTCCTGGCCGCCTGGCTGAGGCGGTGTGCATGGGCCCTGGCTTGGCCGGCCGGCCCTGCAGGCCTCGGCCAAGTCCTTCACAGCAGCAGTGGAAGGAAAAGTCGAAGGAAAACTGAGGCTTGGCTGGGTGAGGTCTCCCGGAAAATGCTGGGCGGGGCTTGACCTCGTGCACACAGCACTTCAAGACCCACACATCTGGGAAACTGAGGCCCAGGAGCTCTAGCAGGGCCCTCTGCTCGGAGGTGCACCTAGAGGCCCGACCCTGGAGCACCCTCTCTGGGCTGGCCCAGGGCTATGGAGTTCCCCATCTTCTTTATTTTGGAACCATACTTTGTTTTCCTTTTCACCAAACCGATCAGCCTTAGCCAATTGTGTCTCCAAGTGGGTGCGGCTTTGAGCAGCCTGGGAGCCTTAATCCCTGTTTCGCAGTTGCTGTGATTTTCAGATTGATAAGACAGCTTCAGCTGTACAAACAGATGGGCCCTGTCCTCCCTCTGTGGTGGTCCTACTGGCTGGGGGAGCTGAAACCGAGTGTGGGGAGTCAGCATGGTCGTGGTGGGGCCTGGGCTTTCCTGTGGTACGTCCTCCTTTGTCCCACCTTGGTTTATGTAGTGAGACCAGGAGTCCTGAGCTCAGCCCCAGCCCCTGCAATCCCAGAGTCCTTGCAGCCTTGCCTCTCCTGGGTGCCTCTGGCTGTAAGATGTTGTTCCACGTGTCTCCGCTGTGGGCATGTGGGTGGCTGGAAGCTGCTTCTGCAGAAGCACATGGCTCTGAGAACCCCACCATTTCACCCTGGGCCCTGCCTCCTCTGAGCCCTCCTTGTGGATGGTACACATCTATCCTTTGGCTGTCCTGGGTGCACAGAGGGTGTCGGGTGGAGTCCTTGGCTGGTGGCTTTCCTGGGCCTGGCTCAGAAACTCCACAGAGGAAGGATTCCACAAAGCTCCCCCAGGGAGACGGGGACGTCTCACAAGCAGGAAGTAGGGCAGAGAGATTTGGGGCTCCATCTACTGGTGGAGGAGAGATGCTGGTGTGAGGTAGGCAGGGAGAAAAGCCCTGGGTTCCTGTTGGTGTGTGGACCGTGGCGTGTCCACGGAAGGCCTTCCAGGCTCTGTGTGCTCCTGACCAGGCAGGTGGGCACTGCCACCTCAGGATTCTCCGCTTATGTGGGCTCTCTGCCCCAGGGACGTCTCTTGGACCTACCAGTAGGCTCAGTGGGGTGTCCTACCCCTCTTCCTGACTCTTGGGAAATTTTGTTTTATATTCTCTCTCTCTCTCTTTTTTTTTTTTTTTTTAAAAAGGATCTTGATAAAGGAAGAAGAATGAGAGGGCTGGAGCCTCTGATGTATTGAAATTATTTTTAGATAGCTTGCCCACTCTGCTGACCTGTTCCCTACCCCAGCCCCTGCAGGCTGCAGCAGACCCCAAGCTTCCTGCTTTTGCTGGGGGGCTGTGCGTGTTTGCTCTTCACATGGCCACCAGCTAAGTAAGGAGTGCCTGCTGCCCTTAGATCAGTACCTGTCCCCGCTGAAAGTCTCCCTGGCCAGCAGCGGTGACCGCAGACAGTGCCTTCTGAGGAGGCATGTGGGGAGGAGGCCCAGGTGTGGTCAGAGAAGCCCAGCTCTGTGGGCAGCGTGGAATCCACCCACTTGCTGTGGTTCTTCTACCCGCAGTGAGGCAGCTGGCTCTCGAGGTCCTCACAGCTCTAGGCAGGACAGGCTCTGCAGCCAAGCTCTGATCCACACCTTTCCAGAAACTCACTGCTGTGTTGAAGTGTCAGGGCCGGTTTCATTTCTGCAGCATGGCTGGAGGCCAGCTTGTGTGTCGTTGCTGGGGTGATGGTCTGCTGAGGTGATGGCCGAGGCAGAGATGGGAGGCGGGGTGTATCTTGGATGCATGGCTGTGGCTAGCCCCACACCTTGACAGATATGGGGTGGCCTGGAAAATAGCCTCCCTGCAGAGAGCTAAGCCTAGGAAAGGGGCTTAGGCTTCAGGCGGGGCAGGCAGATGAAACAGTGGGCCCTAGGGGCTTCACACAATCACTGCCTCTGCTTTGATTGCCTGGGCTTTCCTAGTGTGCAAGTTGCCTCTGTGGGCACAAGGTTTTCATCACAGTGGGAGAACCTTCAGCCTCATTCCTTCAGCATTTTCCTGCCCCTCCCCCACCCCATCCTCTTGTTTCACCCTCTCTGGTGTCCCATATTCCGAGGCAAAGGAGCAGAGCCTCAGTTTTAGTATCTGGTGGATCTGATCACTGCATCTCTGCTTTTGAGTGTCTGATCAGCCATTGGTCTGCTCTGGTGAAACTTTTGACTCAGAAGTCATATTTTTTCATTGCTAGCTCCACTTGGTTCTTTTTGGTGCCTGCATTTCTGTTCCTCACTATGTTCCTTTTCATTTTAAGACTTACACATAGCTACAATTAGTTGGTTTCACATCTTTCCACCGACCGGTTTTCCTGCCAGGTACCAGGTCACACTTTCCTACCTCCTGGTGTGTCTAGTAATTTCTGCTCCCATGCTGTGCATTATACAAGTGACATTATCTGTCCCCTGCACAGACCCTGGGAATGGCTCTGCCTACAGTTCCCTCAGAGGTTCTTTGTCCAGCCCTGTGGTATTAATGACACACTCACGGTATGGAACTAAGCAGAGACTTGGGGGGATCCCTTAAAGACATCTGGAGCTCCTTCCTTTCCAGAACTCTACCTTGTGGCCTCCTCAGTCTCTCTGAAATCTGAGTGCTTTCTCAGCTCAGAGCACCCCCAGGCTCTACTGAGTTCTTTGCTTCTTTCTGAGAATCAGTCCAGGCGGCCAGCTGGGTTGTGGGAGCGAGCACCCCATGGGTCACTTCTGAGCCCACAACCTGCAGCCCATTGTGCAATGTCCTGGATGTGGACATTTAGCATAGTTTTCCCAGTTTCCTAATAACTGGGAAGTGTAAAGCCAGTGCCGCCTCTGCCATCCTGGCTGAGGGAGTTTCCCTGCACAGAGGTGGAGATGGTACCTCCCTGCCCCTCAGTGGTGTCAGCTGGCTCTGCTCTCTCCGCCTCAGGGCATCAAGCCGGCCAGCTTTGAGAAAGTGCACGATCCTGAAATCAAGGAGATTATTGGGGAGTGCATCTGCAAGAACAAGGAGGAAAGGTGAGTTCCGGGGTGGCGTTGGGTTCTGGGGCTTTCTCCAACTGAAACCCTTCTCCCCACTGGCATGAGAGCCTCGTTCCCAAGGAGAGAGCTCTCCAGACAGACTGGCTCAGGCCCCAGTGATACCAGGCCAGGGAGCCGGTGTGGGCAGCCTCAGCCCTATACCCTGCTCTGCCATCTTAGATGCAGTCCTGACCCGAGCTGGGTCACTTGATAGGTCGAGGCTTGTGTCCGTTCCCTTGAGTTGATGATCATCTGCACACCTGGGACACCCAGGTCTGCCTCAGCCCGCTCCTTCTGAGCCCCCACTGTGTATTTTGGCTGCTGGTTGTTGGACGTCTCTAAGCAGCAGCCCCACTGGTCCCCACTGTGAACCATCTTTCTGCTCAGAGCAGGGTCACCGTTTTTAGCTGGACATCCAGGAAGCTGGGGGCACTTTTCATCCTTTCTTCCCCCTAAGACAAATTGGGACACGAAACATCCACAGACATCAGCAGGGGTGGGCTGCTAATGCCTCTACCTATGCAGTGGCTCTGCAGACAATAGCGGAGGAGTCCAGACCCACAGAAGTGCTTGCTGTGTGATTCCATTTGTGTTAGAGAAGGGAGCAGGCTGGCCTTGGAGATGTATGTTTGTGCAGTATGGCTGTGCTGAGCTGAAAGTGGTCACCATAGCAACACGCAGCTGCCAGGCGCCCGGGTTCTCCTGTTCTCCTGTAGTGCCTCCCATGGCTACCGTCTGCTCCACCCCTGGATCTTATGGTTCCTTGCTTGCTTGCCTGCTCTCCTTCAAAGCACACATGCTCACTCCTTTCTGCCCCACCAGTGGCCCTCCTGCAGAGGCCTCCCTGCAAACCCACTGCCCCAGGGAGGCCCAGGACCCCCATCATGCCGCTGCATGGGGGGCTCCATGGTGCAGCCCCCTCCACTCCCGCCCAGAGTCAGGGTGTCTTGCAAGGATTGGAAGCTCTTGTGCACACCAGCCCCTCCTGTCTGCACAGCCGGCAGAGAGAAGAAAATTCTTAGGTATTGAGGCGATAACAGCGTATTTTGATGGGAGTTCACAAATGCAAATGCTCCTGGCTGGGAGACACCCTCAGCGCTGAGCCTGCTTGCCAGGTGGTGAAGCCAGAGAACTTTTTAGCACAGTCAGTCCAGTGCTGAGCCACACCAGGTGGCCGTCTAGTGCCCTGGGGCATGTCCTTGGTACAGAGTCCACTTGTCCCCAAGCCCTTTCCTGTGAACCGTGCTTCCTGCAGGTACGAGATCAAAGACCTGCTGAGCCATGCCTTCTTTGCGGAGGACACCGGGGTCAGGGTGGAACTGGCAGAGGAGGACCACGGCAGGAAGTCCACCATCGCCCTGCGGCTCTGGGTGGAAGATCCCAAGAAGTTGAAGGGCAAGCCCAAGGACAATGGAGCCATAGAGTTCACCTTCGACCTAGAGAAGGAGACCCCTGACGAGGTGGCCCAGGAAATGGTAATGTGCGCGAAGCTTGGGCAGCCCTGTGCGTGGGCTCAGATGCGCGTGGTTGAGGCTGGGGTGCTGCTCAGAGCATGGGGTTTCTAAACACTGGAGTGAAGTCTGTGGACCGAGTTTTTCTGGGGACTGGGGACTAGGGGAGGGTGAGCCATCCTCAGGGAGTGGCCAGCATGGATGGCGGGGTACAGCAGGCTGGAGGGGGGAGCTGGGGCCCAGTTGAGTGGTGGTGGGGGTATGTGTGTGGACCCAGGGGAGCGGCTGGGACACAGGCAGGAAAGGGGTCAGTTGTGAGAGTGGAGTGGGCCTGGGGGAGGCCTTGCTGGCTTTGGCCGCCTTCTTGCTGTGTTTGATCCAGTGCAGTGGCTCTGTCTGTCTGTTTGTTTTGGGGGTACTGTTGTGGTTGCTTTGGTTTCCGGTGTCTTTCTACCTAAGGGGTGCTGTAAGAGCCAGCCCTGCCCCTCCTTCCCTCTGCCCCTCTGTCACCATTCCTGTGTTAGGGACGAAGGTCTGGGATCCACAGGGGAGTGACCCAATTCTGCCTGGGGTGTCCAGCTGGGCCTCAGGATCTGGCTGACCGGGAGCCCGGTGGGGTGAGAGGTAGGAGGTGCAGGACACAAGTGCAGGTGAGCAGGGCCACCATGCTGGTAGCAGTGGCAGAATGGTGACTTATGTGGTGAGTGGGGAAGGGGTGCGAGGGGCCAGGGGCTGCCCATTCCCTGAGCTGTGGATGCTCGAAGCTCTGACTTGGTCTCTAGGCTTCCACCATCCACAGTCACAGCTACAACCCATGTGTGCCTACTAAGATGTAATGAATTTTTAATTTCATTAAAACAGAAATGTAAAATTCAGTCTCACCAGCCACAGTGAACACTACATGGAGGTTGAGGCTCCTGCACTGAACCAGTGTGATCTGTGGTGACACAGGGGAATGGAACTCCCGACCTACTACATGTCCCGTACAAGTTTGTGTTCTCTAAAATTGAGAATGAATTTTAAGAACAGTGGAGGTTAAGAGCAGAATGTATTTATTTAGAGAAAGAAAGCTTCTGTCTGAGAGAGACAGAAGGGGTCCCTGAGTGGGTTGCCAGGGGCTCTGTCTTTTCTAGGGAATTCTGTAGAGCAAAATCAGGAGGTGAGACAGATCCAAGGTGGGGAAAACCTGGGAACTTGCAAGATGGGCATAAGGTGGGACAAAATTGTGGTCTACCAATAAGATTAATTGTTCAGTTAAAATCGACCAAATCAGGGACAAATGGGGAAGTGAATCACATAGCAAGTGGGCACGCTTAAAGAGCAGTGTGTCTTCCTGTAGGTGGTTGGGATGGGGACTCCTGGCTTCCTCAGGGTGATCCACACCTATTTAGAGTATCAATCCCTGATGTTTATTTACTTAGGGTATGGTAGTGTTTATTTTGCCTTTTGTCTTGAGATCTGGTCCATAGGTGTCTATCTCCTCCAAGGTTGCAAGGTATCTGGTCTTGTGCACTGGCTCCTTTGAGGACTGAGCCCTGTTTAACTGCCTGTAATATTTCTAAGTAACTCAGCTGCCAGTAACAAAGAGAAGTTCTCTTGTTCCTTCCACAAATGTGGTAGTGTATAGAGAAGCCTTTCCTGCCCACATCACAGTCCAGGAAGGTTTGTATTTGTGATTCCCTGGAGAAGTTACTGGAATTCTAGTGAGTTAATTCCAATCTACCACTTCCAGTGCAACCCAAGGTGAGAAGAAAGACACTAAGACATATACACAGTTGTGAGGAGCCAAGAGGTCCTAAGTCTAGCCAGAATGGTGTCACCAGGATGAAGGCCTTGCCCAGAGGCAAGGGGAGTGGGCTCAGGGATGAGTGACAGTGAAAGTGTCAGGGGAAATACATGACCGCCATGAGCTGGTCTAGGGAGGAGGCCTGAGATCCCCTCTGTAATAAGCAGAGGGCAAGAAATGCAGAGAGAGCGATCTACATAGTACAGTTGAGGTAGACTGTTAATAATCTGGAGTCGGTGCCTCAGTTCTGATGCACAATCCTGTTTGCCTTGGGAAGTCACAGCCGCATTTTTTTTCCAGGCTTGGTCCCAGCCGACAGCATGGAGCAAGGCTCTCCATCCTGCCTGGCTCAACCATGTATTTGGGGAGTCACTGGGCGGGGTGACACTGACCTGTTGCCTTGCTTCAAAGATGACACATCAGCTCCTCAGCCAGCCCAGTTTACAATGCTGAAAGCCAAGTGAAAAGACAAAGAAATAACCCAGCCAGCACTGTACAGATCATCACACAGAGAGAGGGCCAGGTTTATCCAGAATGGAGACAGTTGCTCTTTCTTTCAAGTAGAGTCGTGGCTCCCCACATCTGTGACATGTCCACGTGGGACCATTCTTGGCACCTGGACTGATGTGGGCTTTGGGGAGGGCTGTAACCTATGTAACATCCTGGTTTCCTCACACTCTGCGTTCTTCTCTAGTTCTCTGGGATGTGCCGCATTTCATTTTGTTCAGGAGGTTCTCCTCATGGAGGAGCTGTCTACTGTTTGATATCAAGTTCCCCCAAACTGTGCACTTACAGTACTCAGGCCTGCAGGATCTCCAAGGTCAGGGGTGAGGTGCAGCTCAGCATGTGAGGCGCAGTCAGGCGTTGGCTGGGGCTGCAGGCTCAGATGTGCTGGCTCTTGGAGCAGGAGACCCCAGGCCTCTGCTGGGTGGACCAGCAGCTCATGACAGGTCTTCTGGAGCAGTTGATGCCCAAGGGAAAGGGAGGAAAGGAGACAGACAAACACACACACACACACACACACACACACACACACACACACACACACATCTCATGACAGGTCTTCTGGAGCAGTTGATGCCCAAGGGAAAGGGAGGAAAGGAGACAGACAAACACACACACACACACACACACACACACACACACACACACACGCATGCATCCATACACAGAAAGAGAGCCAGACAGATAGACTTAAGAGGACTGAGACAAAGCGATCCCCGGAGTGTGCAGATGGGACATTTGGTCCTTGAGACACTGATGATGTGACTGCCTTTGCAGATTGACTCTGGATTCTTTCATGAAAGTGACATGAAGATCGTGGCCAAGTCCATCCGTGACCGTGTGGCATTGATCCAGTGGCGGCGGGAGAGGATCTGGCCTGCACTACAGTCCCAGGAGCCAAGGGACGCAGGCAGCCCTGACAAGGCCAGGGGTCCACCTGCACCCCTGCAGGTCCAGGTGACCTACCACGCGCAGGCTGGGCAGCCTGGGCTGCCTGAGCCTGAGGAGCCAGAGGCTGACCAGCACCTCCTGCCCCCCACGCTGCCAGCCAGTGCCACCTCCCTGGCCTGTGAGTACACAGCGTGGGGTTGCTTTGCTTGCCTCCTCCCCTCCCCAGTGAGACCAGCTGTGGGTAAAGAGACAGACTCCCTTTGATCAGAATGTTTCATAAGGAGGTCCAGGTTGACGCGGTGGCAGCTTGGAGTGTGGCATCATGAGCTGTGAGCCGTCCCTACCCCTAAGTTATTACTTCCAGCTGCAGGTAGTGCCTGGGAGCTCTGGGTGGGCTCTGTGCCCCCAGCCAGGAATACTTCCTGGCACCTAAGCATGTCGCTGTATTTGAAGGAAGATGTATCCTGGGGTGATGGGCCAGCAGACAGCTTCCAGGTACGGGGACACTCACGGAAATGGGTCCTGCTTCCTTGGCCAGGCTGGGGTCTGCCTCTCAGTCTGTCCTGTGGGGTGTGGAGAGGAGATACAGGTGAAGGTCGTTCCAAGGAAGGGGTTAGAGCTTTGCCTGCATTTTCCAGCAGCTTGTGACTAGAGCGTTGGCTTGCTGGAGTCTAGCTTCTTAGGTCAGGTGGGCTCAAAAGTGCCTTGAACCAGTGGAGTTGGACAGTGCTGGTTCAGTCCTCACCGCTACTCTGAATCTGAGTGCTTCGACCAGGCTCCTTATACTGTTTGAGAGACAAAGTGTCCTGGCCTCACAGCGGGACATGAAAGCTGGGTGAGGTGCCACCGCCTGCACTGTGGACGAGCATGCTGAGTGCTCGCCCTGGGACTGTCCACTTCCTTTATTGTCTCCCGGGCAGTGACAAAGCCTCTGAGCCTCTTTGTCCCTCACTTTCAAGATGTTACTAGTGAGTGGGAGGTCACTTGAAGCAGGCTTTGGCTGAGACTCTGTGAGAGGAGCTGGTTTCCTCTGCACCTTAGCTGAGGTGTGTTTGCCCTCAATGTCTCAAGTTTTCCATGTGGAAAGATTGAAATTCTTTAGTTTATTAAATATGAACATCTCTCATAGTTAAAATAGCTAAAGATCTTCATAGTAGGTATTTATATTCCAACAGGGAGCCTTGACTTATTATAGGAGACTTTGCCTGCTGTGCACTTCTCTCCAGCCTGCATGCATTTGCTTCAGAGAAGGATGTTGCTACATCATTGCTCCATTTCCTAAGAACCCTGAAAAAATTAATCAAAGAGCACAGTTTTTTCTTGTGGGGAAAGATTCTCCATATCTGACATACTGGCACACACTTTAGAGTTGTCCTGTGATTAGACAACTTTTAGGATGGGAAATAAATGATCTCTGTTTATTGAACTTTGAAGAGACCCAGTGGGGGAGTTAGAAGCCTGTTTTTGCTGTTGTCAGTCAGGCTTGGGGTACTCTGAGAACTCCGATGGCGACATGAACATCAGGCATGTACATCAGGGGTAGGTGAGCTCCAAGTCCACTCTCATCAGTCCCAGACCCTGTGTCCCATGCGCAGAGGTCCTGGCCACACTTCTCAAAATAGGTGTGATACAGGCACAGGGTACAGAATTCAGAATGCCTCAGAGGTGCGTAGCAAGTTAGTTGTCCTCCTAGAGGCAAGACCCGCTGCCCGTCTGCCAGCTCTCCTTCCATAGATGATCTACACGAGTGACCCGCTGGGCAACGTGCACACACAGGCAGACATGAGCATGTGCATCCATATGTGCACAGGTACATGCATGCATAACAGACGTGTATGGCCACACATGCATGTGTGTGCACAGAGGATACAAGTGTACATTTACCCATGTATACAGACCTGTGTATATAAAAATGCAAACATGCACACATCCATGCATACCCCACATGTGCATACAGGAGCACACCCCTCCATGTCCTTTGTTCTGCAGTGGGTCTGCCTCAGGGCCGTCCTGGCTTCAGCTTCTGTCTGGCTATAGCGTTTTCCCAGATACCCAGCAGTGTCAGGCTTATATTGAACCGATGGAGGTGTCGGAGAGGTCCCAGCGTGCAACAGGATGGACCAGCAGACCATTCACACGCTGGAAGATAAAGTACTGTGTCGGCTGTCATGATTCTCCGCTGGGTCTTCCAGGAGACCCCCAGCGTCCTGATTGGGCTCGGCCTCCTGGCCACTTAAGCAGCCGAGACTACAATGCAGGTTTTCATGAGCCCCAAAATGACTTGTAAAATTAATTTTCCATTCAACAAGTAATAAGTTTCAAATGGTAAAGTGTTGCATATGTGGTTGGAAATGCACTTGTACCTCGTCAGGCCACACTCACACCCCCTCCTTCCTCTCCCTCTTCCTGTTTGTCTAAGTGGAACCTGACCAGCTGGCTCATTAAAAATCAGAGCTTCTTGTCTAATTGGTTTTGCCCAATTAAACCTCAGCATTCCTTATGTCTTTCAGTTAAAATTAATTCTCAGTCCCAGGGAAGATTGTTTTAATGCAAAGCCAGTAAGACTTCCCCTTTACTTTGTCTAGATTACCAAGGAGCACAATCCTCATTCTGAGACATGCCTCTTGTGAAATTAGCTTAGGATCTATTGGTGATAAATCCCAGTGCTTTGTAGCTTTTGAAATTTGGAAGCAGTGACCCAGAGTGCCATTTCAGAGAGGTTTTCAATTGTCACTTTTCACTGGCATGACTGCACTGGCATGCTGTCTTCCCAGGTGAGACAGGTGAGACAGGGTTACGGGTTCTTGTCTGGACCCCTCACATTCAGAGGAGTGTGTCTGTGCCAGCCGGACCTGGTATGGCCAGCCTCCCAGAGCCTGCCTGGGGCTGGGGCTCGACACTGCCTCCTGCTGTTTTGCTGTCAGTGTGCAAATGCTCACAGTTCCACAAGCTTCTTTATAAAACGTGGTGATAGAGCCAGACGTGGTTGTGCATGCTTGTGGTCCCAGCATTGCAAGGAGGGTGAGGCAGGCAGACCACAAATTTAAATCTTGCTGGAGCAAACCTAATTAGCAAGACCCAGTCTTACAATAAGAAATGAAAAGAGTTGGGGATGTAGCTCAGTGCAGACAGAGGTCTTGGGTTCCATTTCCACCACTAAACCTGCAGTAATAGTTTCTCTCTCTCTCTCTTTCTATGGATGTCAGGAATTGAACTCAGGATCTTGTGCTTGCCAGGCAGGCGCTGTACCACTGAGCTGTATCCCTGGCCCCAGCCTTTTCCTTAACTATGATGTTACCTCAGCCCCCTAAGCCCTTGTGTCTTTAAGGGCTGGAACAATGCTTGCTATTATCAAAGCCTGCTAGGTCTGCATGTGTGAGTTGGCAGTGGGGAGGGGTATGATCACAGCAGGGACATGCCCTCCCTGGCATCTGTGCCCCGCTACATCAGCTCATATCAGGGCGACGACCCGGTATAGCTCCCCATGCTGCTGGAGCCGTGGATTATTCAATCAGCAGGCTTGCATTAGTCATGGAATCTTTGGAAGCAGTCCAGTCTTTGTTTCGCAGAAGGCATGGTAGGGACAAGCTAGCAGGTGCTTGTGCACATTGCCGTGGTGGGTAACATTTGGAGGTGTTTCTGCTGAGTCCTACCTCTGTCCTCCACAGCGGACAGCACCTTTGACAGTGGCCAGGGCTCCACGGTATACTCCGACTCACAGAGCAGCCAGCAGAGCATGGTCCTTGGTTCCCTTGTGGACGCAACGCCATCCCTGGCCCCATGCATGTGCAGCCCACCAGTGAGCGAGGGGCCTGGACTGGCACATAGCCTGCCCTCGACTGGGCCCTTCCCACAGCCCGCCACCACGGTAAGTCAGAGATCGCCAGCCCTGCTGTGTTCTCAGCCTTCTTGTTGGAGGGCCCAGGATTTAGAGTGTGTAAGGGCCATCGGTGTTGTGCTGACTGTGGTCAGAGTTAAGGTGGCTTGTGAGTAACTCCTGGCCACACTCTGGGTGGTGGTGATGGGGTGACCCACAGAAGCAGCTCCATGGAGCCCCAACTCTGCTGGGAGCTGTGGAAATGTGGGGCCTAGAGGCGTCCTGAGTGTGTGCGGCAGGCTTGGCCTGCCCTCCTGGCCCTTCCTGGGAGGGTTGCAGGAAGGGTGAGGTACAGGGGTGAAAGGCAGGCCCTGCTGTGACTTCCTGTCTGCAGCTCTATTCTTCTCCCACCTTGGGGCTGGGGCTCAGAGGACCTTCTCTGCCCGGGGCCCTGCTGTGACCATTTGACTGTGGAGTCTGGCACCTTCCCGCATGCCATGTGCTCTTTGCTTTCATTTTTTTTTTTTTTTTTTTTTTTTTTTGTCTTTTTGAGAGGAGTCTCGCTATGCAGTTCAGGCTGACCTTGAGCTCACTTTGTAGCCCAGGCTGGTCTCGAACTCGCAACGATCCTCCCCCCTCAACCTCCTGAGTGCTGGGATTACAGACGTGAGTCACCACGCCCGGCTCTTGCTTTCATTTTTTATCGTGTTCTATGAATTAGCTGCATGAATTCATCTTAGGCAGTCTGAATCACTCAGACTATGTCCCCCAGCCAACTCTTAAATTGCCATCCTCCACATTTCTGCAAAGCCTCTGATGATCCATTCTCATGGTTGCATAATAAATGCTCTGAGGGGCTGATATTCCAGAATATTCGCTGGTTGGGAACGACTTTACAGTATCAGGAATAATGCTGCAGGGCTGCCACACCTGGCTTCTTCCAAGTCACCTTCCTGGGTCCAGGGTCCCTTAGAGGGGACTGACAGGGGGTGGGAGAACTGAGGGCAGTTTCTGAACATGGCTTGGCACTCTCTGCAGCCCAGCTTGTCCGTGGGCTCTGCCTCAGCCCCTACCCGCCCTCCACTCCTCCAGCAGCACTTCCCAGAGCCTGCAATGAGCTTTGCCCCTGTGCCCACGGGTCCTGGCCATCCAGCGCCCCCTGCCCAGCAGGTAAGTGTGGGGCTGGAGCCTGGGGTCCTTGGGCACCTGTGCTGGATGCTGCCTAGGGTCTGTGGGAGCCTTCAGGCCTCTTCAAGTACACTTTTGGGTTTTGGGGCCTGGGGTTGTCTAGGGAGGGAAAGAGGCTTGTGCCTGTGGGTCAGTGGGGAGGGGTAGCTTCTGGGTCTATATAGAACATTTCTGCAAACTCTCTGGTCCTTGGCCTGGCTGGCTGGACTCTGGTGACCTGTGTGTGTGTGCATGTGTACACACGAGTGCACTGTTAGGGTAGAGTTAGAATATGGACATGGGAGTGTGGTGTGTCAAAGTTTACAGTCATGCGTGTGCACGTGTATAAATGTGCAAGTGTGTGTAAGGGCTAAGTGTGTACATGTGAATATGTGCAAGTATATGACTGTGTGCATAAGTGAGTGCAAATATGAGCATGTGAGTGTACATTCCTGCAGTGTCTGTGCAAGCATTGACCCTGCCCCAGCAGGACTATGTTCTAAGGCCCCTTTCTCTCTCGCAGCCTCCTCCAATGGCCCATCCACCAGCTTTGCCCCAGGTTCTGGCCCCACAGCCCTTGGGCGCCATCCAGCCGGTGCCCCCTCACCTGCCTCCGTACCTGGCCCCAACCTCCCAGGTGGTGGCCCCCACTCAGCTGAAGCCCCTCCAGATGCCGCAGCCACCCCTGCAGCCACTCGCTCAAGTCCCTCCGCAGGTACGTCTGGGCTGACCATCGGGGCAGGGCCCTGCAGCCTGCCTGCCTGTAGGGGTACTGGGGCACTTCCAGGTGTTGTCTGTGTGGGGTGGCACTGTGCATGCCCTGTGCGCCAGGACCAATCTGGTCCTCTTGTCTACTGGGCTGCCCTCTCCCAGCCTGCAGCCTTTCTCCCCACCAGAGTGGGCCTTCTGCCCAGGCTGAGATGCTTCTGGGCTGAGTGGCTCATGTGGGGTGTCTCAGGAGAAACAGTGGCTGTCACTCTGGGCACATCCAGTCCTCAGTGTACAGGGTGGAGAAAAAATTTAATCAAAGGTCAAGGACAGGGTTCAAGTTGTGGCTGCTGAGCAGGCACAGAAAGTGGACAGGCTTGCTTCAGCTTCGTCCTGTGGAGCTACCCACAGCTAAGCAGAAGGTGGCTCCTTGGAGGTCTGATAGCCAGCTGGGTGGCACTGCAGGCCACAGAGGAGGTTGGCCGCTGGGGCTCGATGTGGACAGCAGAAGTAACTTGGGGCATCTTTCTGCTGGGACATTGTCCATTACTGGGAACAGCTGGCAGCATGACTGTGCAGGAGACACTCAGGGCTGGTCATTGTTGCCCAGGCTAAAGGCATCCAGGATCATAGCCACTCCTAGGCCCCAGTGATGGGGATGCCCTTTGGCCTTGGCGATGGACAGGAAGTGGGCTTTATTTGGAAGTCAGTGGTTCCCACAGGGTAAGGAAGTATTCTTGCAATTTATGTGCCCCTCCCTGAAGATCCATTTGTGTTTATGATAGTCATCACCTGCTGATCAGGCCTTATCCTTGTGATACCGTGTCAGCGTAGGCTTAGGGGTCTAGTTAAACCTCATCTCCCCCCATCTGTGGTTTGGTACCTAGTTGTGTGTTGAGTCATGAGCATTTGGTCTGTGTGTTTTTGCCTCTATCCACTATCCTTCCACAGAGGTGTGGGTTAGGTGACACCTAAGAGAAAGCTCTATTTAGAGAAAGCTGTCAGAGGCTGAAGAGCTACGTCCACAAGGCCAGTTCTAGAAGGTGTGTGCTGGGGCCCTGAACAGATAGAGGGCCGTGCTGAAGTCCTGCTGTCAGAGGTGACGTGCTTTGGGGTGTCACCTCAGCCTCAGGAGGGAGGCTGAGGACCTGCACCGCTGAGAACCGTGGAAGGAGCAAGGTTTGAGTAGGAAGGAAAGGCTGCAGAGCTTGGAGCTTCATGGCCTTCAGGCCCCTCCCCCTGTGCCCGGTAGGGCGCTGACTCAGCGAGGTCCCTCCGTGCTGTGCACAGGGGTTTGTCGGGCAGGTCATGCCCTGGCCACCAGCTTCCTTTTCTGGTCGGCGGCGTTTCACACGCTCGACCTTTCCCTTTATGTTAGGTCTGTGGCTGGGATCGTGGCAGCAGCAGCTGCACAAAAGCGTCTGAGAGGCCAAGCCATGCTGCCCTCACCCCAGCTTATCCTGCTGACAGTGCAGGGGCCACTGACTTGCTGTGTCTCTTTCAGATGCCCGCGATGCCGGTGGTTCCCCCCATCACGCCGCTTGGCACCATAGATGGCCTCCCCCAGGCCCTCACTGACCTGCCGGCTGCAAATGTGGCCCCTGTGCCACCTCCTCAGTATTTCTCTTCCGCCGTGATCTTGCCAAGCCTCACCACCCCACTGCCTGCATCCCCTGCCTTGCCTCTGCAAGCAGTCAAACTACCCCATCCCTCTGGGGCACCCCTGGCCATGCCCTGCCAGACCATCGTGCCAAATGCACCAGCCACCATCCCTCTGCTGGCCATGGCCCCACAGGGCATGGCTGCCCTGTCCATTCATCCTGGCATGGCTCAGCTTCCAGCCCAGCTTCCAGCCCAGCTTCCGGCACAGCTCCCAGCACAGCCAGTATATCCAGCGGCCTTCCCACAGATGGCACCAGGGGACATCCCACCTTCCCCCCACCACACAGTGCAGAGCATACGAGGCCCCCCTCCACAGCCCGTACCACCTGTGCCCACAGTACCACCCGTGCCCACAGTGCCGCCCATGCCCACAGTGCCACCCGTGCCCACAATGCCACCTGTGCCCACGCCTGCGCCTACTCAGCCCCTCGTATCTGGTGTTGCCCACTTGCCCGAGCAAGTGGCTCCAGCTGCTGCCGCCACAGGGAGCCAGGTAAGCTGCTGTCTGGACCTGGGTCTGCCTACTGCTGCCCGGAAAACCAGTGGAACCCATAGTGGAGGGCCTCCCAGATTGCTCCCTTTACTAGGCCCCGGGCTCCCCACTGATCCCTGGACTGAGTGGCTGGTCCAAGCCGCATGAGGGGCAGCTCTGCCCTGTGTGTCTTGTCTTGTGGAGAGATGTGTTGGACGCTGAGGGCAAAGGCTGCCCCCACAGTGGTCAGAAATCAACAGCTGCAGCTCGTGTGGCCTGGGGCTCATGTGCATCTGGGGCTGGGCCCTCCCAGGGTGCCTTGTTAGGGCGAAGTGCAACCAAATCCTAACAGAGAGGAAATGAGGCAGAGTGAGGGGCTGCTACTGGAAGGGAGTTGTTGCGGGCCCCGGGGTCTGTCCTGGTGCTGAGCCAGCAGACTGTGAGGGGCCCCATGGAGCACAGGGCTGTCTCCCTGCTGTGGGAGGCCTCCTATGTTCAGGGTTTTCTGCTCAAATCTGAGTGAGGGGAAGAGCTGATATGGGCTCCTCCCACCCAGGAAGCCCCCCACCCTGCAGCTTTGTGCATGGGAAGCCCCGCCCACAGGGCTGGTGCATGGACACCTAGTGTGTGGGCCTCACTCCTGATGTCTCCTGCTTTGCTATGCTGTGGCAGCTCTTTGGCTGGGACATGGCCCCAGCTTTGGGAGATTCAGGCCTCTCGCTCTGAATTTTCAACCTTCTTAGCCCCAAGTAGGCTGGAGGATGGTGAAACCCATGGACCTTGTTGCTTGTTCATCTTCTCTCCACCCCTGTAGAGCTGTCAGAGAGCCCCGAATGCTGGGGTGCCAGTTTGAGCTGGCACTGTGGAGGGAGGCCACTGTGGAGGGTGTAGCAGATGTCAGCAAGTGCTTGTACAGTCTCTTGGGACCAAGGACAGCTGCCATGTGCTGGGAACTGACCAGGAGGCCACCCAGGGGCAGGGTGCTGAAACTCCCGGGGTCAGGGGAGCACGGTTGTCTCCTAAGCATGTGTTACCAGAGTCTGACCTTGCACCTGGGCTTAGCTAGTTCTTGAGTGCAGTGTGGGTCTGGGGATGTCCACACCGATCCCTTAGGTGGACAGGATTGGGGATGCTCACCCCGTTTCGCTTCTGTTCATCCATGTGCCAGACATGGCCTGAGGGAGGGAGCACATGAGCTGGGAGAGATGTTGCCCTGCCCCCAGCCCAAGCGCTCATGGATATGCCTGAGCTTGGCCCCTCAGTGCAGGCATCTCACCCACCTCCCAGTGTCCAACCTATGTCCTGTCCCTTGCGCCCTCAGGTCCTGCTGGGCCACCCGCCTCCCTACACTGTGGATGTTGCTGCCCCAGTCCCTGCTGTGCCCCTGCCGCCTGCTGTCCTTTCTCCACCCCTGCCGGACGTGCTTCCTCCTGGTGCCCCTGAGCTGCTGCCTAAGTTCCCTAGCTCCCTGACCCCCACACTGGTGGCAGCGCCTCAGAGTGTGCCTGCCCAAACCAGCACACTGCTACCACCAGCAAACCCACCGCTGCCTGCCGGACCCCCGATGCCTGCCCCCTGCCCGGCAGTCCAGCTGACGGTGGAACCTGCTCAGGAGGTGTGTGCTCTCGCCCCTCGTGTCCATGGGTCTGCACCCTGACTCAGCTCTGGAGGGCAGGGGGCTCCCACAAGAGGCTGTGCTCCTGGACAGCCAGCCAGGGCCGTCTTGTCTGCTGAGCTTTCTTTGACTGGAAGCCCACAGCAAGGTGGAGAGGCAGATTTTATAAATGGGTTTAGAGGACACTGGCCCTTGAAGAGGAAGCAAAAGCATATGAAAGCCTCACAAAGAGTCCTCTTTTAGGGATGATCAAAGTGGGTTAACAGTTTTGGAAAGGAAGCAGCCCTCAGCTTTTAGGAAGCTGCTTGGCTCTCAGCCTTTGAACAAAGTGAAAACCTTGGTGTGCGGCGCCCCCCTGGCTGCCAGCAAAAGAGTGGCTGCAGAGCCTGCGAGGGGAGACTGAGTACCCACCGCTGTGCTGCAGGGAGGAGAGAGCATGACCGTCCTCCGTCCTCTGCTTTTTATTTCAGGAGCAGGCCTCACAGGACAAGCCTTCCGGCCCCCCACAGAGCTGTGAGAGGTACTGGGCCAGCCTGACTGGTGGGGTGTGGGTGGGAGGCACAGGCCAGGCCTAGCCCCTGCTGCTACTCCACTCAGATCCTGCCCATCTGCCTGGATGCCCTCAGAGCTTCTAACGCTTCTAACAAGCATCATCCCCTTTTCCAGACCTCACCCAGGGAGCCTCAGGGACCTTCTGTCCAGGTTGAGCCCTGATTGCTTTAGCTGCCTGCCTGGCTGTAGTCTGGGGCTGTGTGCCTAAGACGTGTGCTACCCAGAGTTAGGAGAGGCTGGGCCCCTGCGGCAGAGCCAGTCCCAGTCTAGCCCAGGGCTTGGGACTCACTCCCCCTGTGTTCTGGTCCTCAGTGAAAGTGGTTGTGGGAAATGACCTTGACTTCTTACCCTCCTAGAGAACTGGGACACTGCAGGCTCTGCTGCAGTCCTCCCAGCCCTGAGTGCTTGCTTGTTCTTGTTGCTGCTGCTGCTGGGGAAACTGAGGCGTGAGACCTAAGTCTCAGGTCAGGAAGCTGAGAGGGCTGTGGTCACACAGCCAGTAACTGGACAGCTTGCATTTCTGCATGCCCCCATGCCACCTGGGATAGGTGCTGCCAGGAGAGAAGGAGTCCGGGGTCCCCTCCCAGCTGGTGGCTGGCTTCACAGTTCATGGCTTCAGGGCCAGGAAGCTTTATTGCTCCCGGCCAGGCTGTCTGTAGTAGACTTGCTGGTCACCCATGGGTGCTGTCCACATTCTCGGTTTTCTTAGCTATGGTGGCTCTGAAGTCACTTCCGGAAAAGAGCTGAGTGATGGCTGTGAAGGCACCTTTGGAGTGGGCAGGCTGGAGGGCAGGACTGCCCGGAGACACCACCGCAGGTCCACACGTGCCCGCTCCCGGCAGGAGAGGACCAGCCGGCCCCGGCTCACCATCCTGAATGTGAGTGGCTGCTGCGGTCCAGGGACAAGGGTGCAGGGACTTCCATGATCTGACTGCTCCCCTCCTGTAGGTGTGCAACACAGGGGACAAGATGGTAGAGTGCCAGCTGGAGACGCACAACCACAAGATGGTGACCTTCAAGTTCGACTTAGATGGGGATGCACCTGATGAGATCGCCACGTACATGGTGAGGCTGGGTGTGGGGGTGGTGAGCTGCCTCCTGGTGTCCTGGGCACGCCTGGGGCGGGCACGGGGAGCCAGGTGTGTGGGGGTATTTGGGTCTGCAGTGGTACCAGAAGGCAGCCTGGGGGATATGTCCATGACTGTACCCCACGATGCTCCCCATGCCTCAGAATGAAAGGAACTTGTGGATGGCACATGGAGCTGGGCGCGGCAGTGTCCCAGCTGCTCGTGTCCTCTAACTCCTGCCTGGAGCCCCTGGGTTCATCACTTCCCATTGCTGGGCAGAATGCCCATTGCCCACACCTTGAAAGAGAAGGAGGTTATCTCTGCTCACTGTTCTCAGAGGATCTGGCCCAGGAGTGGCTGCTCTGTGGCAGGCACGTCACGATGAAGGGAAGGCAGAGCAGGGCGGCCCCATCCATGGCAGCTGGGAAGAGGGAGCCAGGGACAGGAGCACGGTCTTCCAGTGGCCCATATAGTCAGGCCACAGCTCCTATAGCATATTCAGCTGTCGGAATCATCGGTGGATAAATCCACTGCCGAGCACAGTGTCCCACGGTCCTGTGGCTTCCAAACGCCCAAGGCTCTCAGGAGATGTTTTAGATCCAAACCATGACAACTGCTGCTTCCCAAGGTGGCGCAGCCTAAGCCCTGTGCTCCTGGCCCCTTTCCTCGGCTCTGCTGTCCCACTGTCCTGCAGAAATGCCTTTCCCTGCCTGTGAAGACCATGCCACAGATACTTTGTCTTGTGTGGACTTTCCTCCATCTCACGTGCTTTTTGGAGGTACAGCTCCATCCCCAGCACGTAGCCTTGCTAGGAGCGGTGGTCTTGGGCCTCAGAAACTGTCCAGCTGAGAGCACACGAAGAGAGCAGAAAGAACTCCCCAGGTCCTGGCTCATCGGTGACCACCGCCTGGGATGACACTCACTCCTTGTATTCGTTGTTGATGAGTGAGGGGAAATCAGGACGTTGTGTCCTTGGGAAGCAGCTGGTGTTGCTGGCCAGTGTTATAGCCCATGACCTCACAGGGCTCCACACGCAGTGAGCAGAACTAGGAACAAAATACACACTTTAAGTTGGTAGTTGAACAGTCCCATGTGGCTGGTGGCTGCTGCCCTTGACAGCCCAAGTCTGGAGTCAACAGAGAGCTGCACCTCAGCGTGTGTCCCCAGCACCCCAGCCCTCGGCTGCCTTACATTCTGAAGTGAGTTTCACAGGGAGGCCCTGTCCATCGGTTACCCTCGGGACAGTTCCATGTCCCGGTGTCTGCACCACAGACTCCTCCAACGGGCCCTCCTGGAGCCAGGGCGCAGGGCATGCAGGGCCATGTTAAAGAAGAGATGATTGTGAACTTTACCTGGACTCTGTGGTGGGGGAGGGGTACGGGCCCTGGTCCTCAGGGCCAGGGCAGGCTGGGGAGTGTGGCTCACAGCCAGGAGCATTTGTGCATGTGCATGTGTGTGGGTGGAGGATGATGAAGGAAACACCGAGTTGTCTAACCTGTGGGGTGAGCAGATTGCGGAGGATCTGCGCCCCGTGCCCCACACACTCCTTCAGCACGTGCGCCGGGCTGCTCACTCTCTCCTGCCAAGGGGGACCTCCATGGACCAGCAGTGGTGCTTCCAGCAGCTCTGCCCTCCAGCTTCCCCCGTCACACACAGGTGTCATCACAGCTGATAGTCGGGGTCTTCCGGAAGTGACGTCAGAGTCTCTGTGGTGGAGGGAATCCCACTGCTGAGCCCACAGAAGAGGGCAGAACAGACACTGTGGTGTCCAAGGGTCTGGGAGGAGGCTGACTGCATGGGCAGCTGGGGGTTCTCTCAGAAGTGGCTCAGTAGGAGTCCTGCCAGAGACGGGGAGAAGGAGATGGAGAGGGCCAGCAGAGAGAGGTTGGAGGTGCCTGGCTAGGGTCGGGCCAGGGACCTTTGCCAGCAGCATGTGGCCTTGCAAGGCCACTGGACCGGTGAAACTGCAGCGTCTCTTCTGTTGTCTTCCTGAGCCTCTAACGTGTACCTTGCAGGGCTCCGGGTGTGCATGTGTGTGCACATATCAGGGGCCATCAGAGAGCAAATACCTGTGACCTAGGCCCTGGCCTCTGCCTGCTACCCCGCCCGTCCATCCGGTGGGTGCCCCTCCTGCCCCCTGCCCAGCACCACGACTGTGTGTCCACAGCAGCTCATGTTTAGCACCTTTGCACACTCAAACCTGTGTCCCTGTACGGCAGTGATCGTTTAGTGGCGAGCTTTGTAAACTTTGGCCCCTTCTTGTTTCTGTGCTCACCACTCTGCTTCTCCTTTCCCTTTATTCTTTTTTCTTTCATGTGCTGTGCGATGGATTTGAATGGGACGTTCATAAGTGTAGTCATCTTTTATACCTTTGCAGATCAACACGATAAAAATACACAAATTTGGTTCGTCATGCTGCCCCGCCCGCACATGGCCTCTCCCTCGGGCCCCAGCCCCAGGCCTGGGAGCTGATCTGAGCTGAGCTGAGCTGAGCAGAGTGGCAGGATGGGTGTTGGCTGGCTGAGCTGGGTGTTCTTCTGGCGGGCCCCGCCTCTCCTGAACCCGCTCCTGCTGTGAGGGCTGGAAGCTCTCAGTGGGTTGACTCTGGTGGCTGGGCTGGGCTCTGGGTTTGTTACCTCTCATACATGCCCTTACCAACCCTGCAGTAAAGGAGGCAACTAGGGCTGTTTGGATTCACTTGGCGTTCACTCCAGGTTGTACCTGCACCCTGTATGTTTAGGTTTTTCTGTATGTTGATTTGAAACTAATTTTAATTTCTTTAAAAAGAAATACAAACTCAGCAGGAAGAGCTAAGGGACCATGGTTCAGTGTCGTGTGGTGTTGGAACATGGTGTATATTCTCACGCACAGCCTCCAATGTGGCTCGGGCATGCTCTCCTTACACATTGTCACACTCCTGTGCCACACTTGATCAACCAGTGACTTGTAGATCCAGTACTAGGCAGCCCCTTGTCTGAGAGTACATAGGACTCTGTGAACTCCACAGCCAGCATACAAGGAGCAGGCGGACCTGTCCTTGAAGAGGTTTGGACAGATGGGTCCCTGAGGCTAGGGCCAGGATCAGAGACTAGACCCGCTAGGCAAGGGGACAGGTGGATATCTGTCTCCTGAGGTCTTAGTATGGCTTTTTGAGTGGCACCACCTTCTGTCTGCCTAAACAGCAGAGCACAGGACGAGCTGGGGGGCTGTGTGCTTATGTGAGAGCTGGGGCAGTGACCGTGTCCTGGTCTGGACGCTTCAGTATCCAGGCTGAGGTATGGGTCCTCCCTCTGCCCTCCCCTCACTTGCCAGGGCCTGGGCTGCCATGCTGCCCTGGAGGCTGGGCGAGGGGTAGGAGACAGTCCTCTTAGGTGCAAGTGTGTGCTTGGGAGGGGCCTGTGGGTTGCACAGACTGAAGAACCCTTGACCTTAGCTGGTGTGAGTGGATGCTGCTCGGAGGACGGACAGCTGCCTGTGCAGATGTCAGGGTTTGAAACACAGAGGGAGAGGCAATGGCATGGGCATTGCTGCATGGCTGGAAACTCCCAGAGTCACTGCTGGGAAGCAGGAGGTGCCAAGAGCCCCTGGACACCAAACTGTGCCACCCGTGTGCCTGGGCCAAGGCTGCAGGTCCCATCCTGAGGCTGGGCATGGAGAAGCAGCCAGTGGCCGCCTGGCATGGCCTTACACCCTGCAGACTCTCCCTGTGCCTCCTGGCCCCCGGGCCTGTGCATCCACACCCTGCCCACAGGTGCTGGAGCATCCCTGACCAACTGTGGCTCAGGACCAACAGCGCCATGTTGGCTCCCTCCAAGTAGCCTTCACCTGTTTCAGCCACACTTGTCTGCCCTGGGACTGTCCTCTTGTGGGACCCCTGCTCCCTGACTTTTTCTGGGGCCTAGGACGGGGGATGGAGATCCCTACATTCCTGATAGAGTCCCAGTGCCACTGTGGCCCAGGCAGGTTGTCACTGGCCGCCCATGTCCCCGCGTAGGTGGAACACGACTTCATCCTGCCGGCTGAGCGTGAGACCTTCATCGAGCAGATGAAGGACGTCATGGACAAGGCAGAGGACATGCTCAGCGAGGATACAGACGTTGACCGGGGCTCTGACACGGGGGCCAGCCCGCCACCCCTGGGCACCTGCAGTCTAGCAGAGGGGGAGGTGAGAGCCCAGGTCCTGGGAGAGGGCAAGTGGCAGGAAGCTATGGACAGGCAGGCGTCTCTGACTTCCCAACTTTTTGATTCCTCCAGGAGGGGAGACAGTCTCCAGCAAATGCCCCCGTGTACCAGCAGAATGGTGAGTCTGCAGCCCTGCCACAGCAGGCACCTCACTCAGGGAAGTCATTCCCTGTGTCCCGTCTCTGTCCTGCAGCCAGAACCCCCCTCATACCTGCCATTGGGCTCTGCCCCTTCCACTCCCAGGGCTACAGGAGCCTAGAGAGCAGAGGCTCCACCTCCCTGACATCTCCACCTCCACTGCTGGTTCCGCAGGTGCCCTGTGCCTGAGCTGGGTACTCCTGAAGGTCCTGAGATGCCAGGGAGATGTCATTGGGTGGCTGTTTACCCCTCAACACTGCCAGAAAGAGGAGCAGATGGGGCTCCCCCTGGGGACAGGGGGCGCCCTGTATCCAGAGGGTCACTGTTTAGGATGATGATGGGAACGAGGCTTCCCTGCCTGCATTTCTTTGGAGGAGACCCCATGGGCACAGACAGGTTCCCGGGGGCCCCGTGTGGGTCTGGTGCAGTGGCAGGTGTCTCCACTCCAGAGACACTCGCTTGTGAAGACACTTGCTCCCCCTCAGCATGCTGTGTGCTCTGCTTCTCAGTGCTGCACACAGGCAAGAGGTGGTTTATCATCTGTCCGGTGGCCGAACACCCAGCAGCCGATGTCCCTGAGCCATCGCCCCCACTTCCTGTCAGCTCCCTGAAACCAGAAGTCAGCCAAGGTAGGAACCCCAGAGGCCCCCACCCAGCCTGCTCTCTAGGTACCCAGCAGGCTCCTGGCATGCCTTCGGGTGCCGTGCAGTGACAGTTCCATGCTTACATTTCGTGCTTGGGGTCGCCAACAGGGCTGCGTCCCTGTCTCTGCTTTCCTCTGGGCCAGTCAGGTCCAGGCAGCAATGGCTCCAGGCACCCTATGGGGAGGCACATGTGAGCCGATGAATCTCTGCCCTTCTGCCTGCCTGGTGATATTCACGCCTGGCCTTAGCACTCGTCAGTACACTGTGTGAACATGTCCTGTGCAGGCTGCTTCAGATTTGTGTCAGATGTTGGAGGCTCCCTCCGTTCTGGGGCCACCTGATTTTAAACCATCTGTACTGTGTTACTGATCAGCACTGGTGCCTGTTTCTGTCCTCACAGACAGCCGTGGCATGCTTGTCCTGGGATGGGGGCTAAGTCTTGATCTTTATGGTTCTTTGAGAGGCTATAAGTAGTCATTTGAGCTAATATAAGATTTAATTTTCCTGTCACTTGCCAGGAAAAGTTGCTGCTTAAGTAGCTTGGCCTAACATTGTGGTATGATATAAAAAATATTTATAGATCCATTTTGACTTCCTATCATGTGTTTGTAGTGACCTACTTTTGATGATGCAGTACTTTGGGGAAAGAATCAGGGTCAGGCTGTGAGTAAAACCCCAGGGAGGCTGCACACTGGGCCAAGGTGCCCTCTGGTCAAGGGTGTGAGCCCAGGCTGCCCTGCAGATTCAGGGACCAGCACCTTGTTGGAGAGACTCACTTGTAAAATGAGAATGTGTTGCTGTATTACCTCTTGATTGTTGGATATCAAGAAACAGGTGCAAGAGAAGTCCATTTGAAAATAAAGGTAAGTGTTTGTGTGTCATAGGGTTCAAGGGGTGGCGTGCTAGGAAGTTAAACGCACAGGGTTCAACTGTCATCCTGCCCCTACACATCAGTGATCTCTGGAAGCCTTTCACAGCCTGCGTCTTTATCCATAGAAGAAGAGGGAGGAAAAACAAAGAAAAGAAGAAGGAAATAAAACTAGGCGGCAGGTGTGTTAGCTGGATTTCGCACCCACTGGGATGACTGCAGAAGTTCAACGGGTTACGAGAATCACCTGCTCAGAGGTGTGGGTAACGTGAAGCTAGTGAAGAATTATCAGGCCTGAGGCCAGAGGCTAAGGATACACCCTCAGTCTGCACCCATATTCCTGGAGGAATCTCCCATTTCTTCAGGAGAGGCTGATGATGGCTTCCGCTGCCTTGCTAGGCCGACAGAAGGGGCGTAGAGTCCAGGGTGGCCTTGCCAAAGCCGTGCATAGCAGCAGGCAGTGTCCCCTGGAAGGGACAGGCCTCAGCCCCTCTCCTGTCAGGATGAAGAGGTCCCTTCTGCAGGAAGGGAACCTTGTTTTGGGTTTCATGTGTACAGAGAGGTTTCTTAGTATAATATCTGGCACTTAATGGAACAAGCCCTAGGCAGAGAGCTGGGTTCTGAATAAGCTGGAGTAAATGCACGTCAGCACATTGTCATCACTGAGCTGTGTTACAAATCCCAGAAGCAGTGTCATATAGCTGAGTACTCAGAAAAATATTAGCAGCAGGAAGATGAAGGAAGCCACCAGAGTTCAAAGTTCTACTGAGCCAGCAGCGAGTTCAGTGTCGTCTGGCAGTGTGTCCCAGCCTGAGCCTAGTGGAGCCTTTGGACCAGATTTGAGCTCTGGATGCTCACAGGGAGAGCTCCAGGAGACACCTTCTAGTTGCAGCTCACAAACCAGGATAGGTGTCCCCGCTGAGAGCTGCCCCTCTGTGCGACAGCCTGTAGACAAGTCTGGGGGCTACAGGACATAACCAGAGCCTGAGGAAGGCAGCCGTGTGAGTGAGGTCTGAGAGCAGACTCTACACCTATTGCTTTATCCCACTTTCCTGCCTGGCCCGCTTGGCACAGTCTTGGAATTGAGTGGTTTCTGGCCAGAGGTTCAGAACAAGAAGTTTGAGGGAACCAGCAATACCGAGGAGGACACAGAAAGGGAGCAGTTGTGGGAAGCAACCCCATGACACTGAACTTCTGGGTGTGCCCCCAACCTGTGAGTGGGTGAAACTGATCTAAATTAGCCAAGAAAAGCCTTGGAGAAGCTTTATTGAGGTAACAATAAATCCTGTGCAGGTTCTGGACTGGCCTCTAAATGGCATACAACAACTTCAGGTCAGATCCCGCAAAAGCATTGAAAACCTTGTAACCAGAGCCAGCCACCCTGTAACCACAAGCCCAGAGAAGGCAGTCTGCACCTGACCAAGTAGATTGGCTGCTAAAGCAGAAATACCAACGTTTGCTACAGCATGTAAATGACACGGGAGGTTTCATAGTATCATTCAAGCTGTTCGGAATAGAATCCAAAACTACTGGACAAGTAAAGAGCTATGCAAGTACCAACTTATACAGACAAAGCTAGTAAATGACATAGATTTTGGGATGATCTGACAAGAACTGTAAGCAGCTTTTCCAAATTCACCTGAGCAAGCAATCACAAATACTCTTGAAAGAAATGTTAAAGTGGAAAGGGTCAACCAAGAAGTAGAAGTTTCAAAGAAAAAAAAATAGGAATTTTAACACTGAAAATTAAACTAAAAGTTTCCCACTGGAAACTAGGGAAGAAAGATAAGAAAAAATGAGCAGAGTTTTGAGAATAAATAACAGAGTCTAACATTTGTGTCAGAGTTCCAGAAGGAAAGGGGAAAAAAGATTTGAAGAATATCGCTGAATACTTCCCAAGTTTAGGGAAAGGGATGTGGATCTAGAGATTTAAGAAACAAAGCAAACCTCAAATAGATTAAACCAAAGAAATTCATGCCTATATAATGTAATCACTGCTGCACACTAAAGACAAATAAAACAAAGTGCTGAAAGAACCGACAGCCTAAAATTCAGTTTTCAGGGTAAGTGTCCTTTAGGAATGAAATGGAAGCAATACCATTCTCAAATAAAAGAAAGTGAGAGAATTTGCAGCTAGACTCCCATTTTAGAAGCGTCGCTAAGTGTTTCCAGATAAAAGACAAATGATACCAGAATGTAATTTAACATGAAGGGTAAAGGAAGCGATAGCAAATATCTGGGTGAATACAGTGGGCTGTTCTTCTTTCGAGTTCTCTGAAACGTGTCTGGCATTGAAATTTAAAAATTGTAACATCCCATGACCTGTCAAAAGTCAGAAGAGATAAAATGAGATGAACTAATTGAAAAAAGAGAAGGCAAGTAAAGAGAAAAAGAGGATTTTTTCTAGAAATTGGGCAAAGTAACCTCAGAGAACAAACAAAATTCTGGCCTTTAAACTTACAAATGAAGGTTATAAAAGTCTTTATCTATCATCCACAAGACAGATTATGAGACTCACTCATACCAAACAAAGTGAGCTGAGTGTGGGCTGTCTTCTAGACACTTCAAATAAATGATACAGGTAGACTAAAGGAAGGAGGATGGGAAAAATAGACCATGGAAATGCACCACAAAAGAATGCTGAAGTGGCTGTTTTTATTTCAGACAAATCGGCTTCAGCAAAAGAAAAGTAGCAGAGTTAAAAAGAGATAATTACATATTCATGAGAAAATCAGTTAAAAAAAAACTAGCAGTCATAAATGTGTAGGCACGCAGTGACAGAGCTTTAAACTGGCAGGCCCCACAACTGTAAATAGAGACTTCAACATTCCCCTCTCAGTGACAGATAAAACAGAAGAAAACCATCAGGGTACTGAAGATCTGAACAGTAGGAACAACTGATTTGCCCAGTATTTATAGAACATTCGTCATCAACAGGGCATGCTTTTATTTCTAGTACATATAGGCAGTTACCCTATTCTGGGTTATAAAGCAAAACCTAACAAACTCAAATGAATAGACACTATCGGGAACTATGTTCTCAGATAAAATGTGATCAGTAATTATATAACATTTCTATATTACCTGTGGATGAAACAGTCCCAAAGAAAATTTTAATATATTGTTGAATGAAAGATAACCTGAATAGTTTGGATGAACATGAAAATATAATGTATTAAAATTTGTAAGAAATAGCTAAAGTAAAGCCTAAGTATAGCATTTATAGCACTAATTCCTTAGATGAGAAAAGAGGTTAATAATTCACCCTTTCACTTTATGGAGCGAGAAAAATTAAAGTCAGTCAAAAGCAAGCAGAGTGATGAAAATAAAAAGCAGAAATCAATAAAATTGAAAACAAAAATAGATAAAACTGATGAAGCCAATAGTTCTTTGTGTGTGGAGGGGGAAAGCTAATAGAATTATAAATTTCTAATAAGGATGACAAGAAAAAACACAAAACACGAACATCAGGAATAAAAAATATATCGCTAGATAAAGGTTAAAAAGATAATACTAGAATATTATGAATAAGCCAACAGATATAAATTAGAAAATTTATATGAAAGAAACTACTTCCTCAAAAGCCAAAAACTAATACTAAAACTCATTTAAGATAGAATACATAACCTGAATAGTTTGAAAAGATTGGACACTCCCTAAAAGAGTTCTGTAGGTCCAGATAGTGTTACTATGGACAGCTAAGCTAGGTAAAAATACAGGAAGAAGAGACAGGGCTGTGCCCTCAGGGAAGACAGTATAGAGGATACAACTGCGGCCAGAACCACATCTGTTAGACGCCAAACCTCAAGATAAAGACAAAATGGCCAGGCCTACATGCCCCTCCAATAAACTTATAGTAACATCAGTCACCCTGGTTGGTGCTAAACCCCCCCAATTCATCTCTTCCTAATATAGCCCTTGTATTTTCCATATATACTTGCTACATGTATATATGCTTGCTTCCCCTAAGTGCCTAAACTTGTAATCATGTAGGTTAATTATAACTGTCCCACATTGTACTCACCTCATGATTTTATACCCACCTCATGATTTTGCTCTATAAAACTTTCTTTATAAGGTGGGATCCATGGCAACCCATTTTTTGGGTCCCTTCCTG